TTCAATATTATTGTTACTCGAATCTATCTAGTTCTTCTCACATGTCTTCTCATTTATCTCGGTCTTTTTACATATTCAGATGTGAAAGACATCACCGAGAAACAAGATAATCCGCCTAAAATAGAACTAGATAGCTTTCCTGCCGATGTAGAGTGCCCGTGTTCTCGTATTTCACTCTCATATGGTGAGTTTATTTCATTGGGACCGATTTTACATCAAATATGCAAGAGTGATTTTGTGCTTGATCGTTGGACTAAAGCCATCTACTCTGACTCGAACGTCACGTATTTCAATTTAAACGACTTTCGAACTTTTGGTAGTGCACAATTTCAAGCATTAGCCGGTTTCTGTGATCAATCAATATCTTATCTTGAACAAAATATTGATTCATTTGAAAAAAGCAAGTTTATAAGTCCACAACTTTTGCCGAGAAATCTTTTTCAAGAAGAAACTCAAACAGCTATTATTCGCTTTCAACAGTCTCTACCTCGAGCATTTGCAGCTCAATTAGAACTAATCCTTCAAGTAATAAGCAGCAATCGACTTATGTCTGGTCTTCAAACAAACTTTATTATATCATACGACGATAACCCTGAAGTTAACCCCGCCATATATATTGACAGGAATAAGGCATCGTGCGATTGTGTTTCGGATTATCGATGTACTTCTAAGGCTATCTTTAGCGACATATTCAATGCATCAACACAGTATGATTTCGGTCGTAAGATTAGGCTGCCTGGATTAGCATCAGGTTGTTTGCCAGTGACTTCGATTCTTGCATCGACACTTGAGTGTTTTTACAGTCAGACATGTTTGAACACTCTTATTTCAGTATTTCAAACAGAAGAAAATTTCTCAGCGATGGCAGTTAGCAATATCAGTCGTTTTGGTCAATATGCAACCGTGAAATCAATCGTTGATAATCTGATGGTGGAAGATTGGTTGATGAACGTATCTTATGAAAAGTATCGCGATAATTGTGCACCTCTTTCTTGCACTTATCAAAAGAAAATGAGAAATACTTTACTAGAGGTGATGGTAAAACTCATTGGTTTACTCAGCGGCTTGATATGCGCACTAAGACTAGTGCTTCCAATTATTGTTCGATTCATCCTGAATAAATTAAATAATGTACAATCTCCACCATCTGGTCTGACTCGTAAGTAATTCTATTCTCATGATAACTATACTCTCTTTAGGGTTCGGCAGCTCCGACTTCTAGGAGTCGGTCTTTTTTCATAACGCATCCAGAGTCGAAGCTAGAACCAAGATCAGGCGAAGATCATTGTTACGGGAGCCGGAGCTGATATCAGAGCCCTTGACAACCGTCGGCTTCGATTCGAATCCGAATTTTTCCTATCTATTGACTTTGTATGATTGTCTAGAGTGGATGTTCAATGAATTTGATAGGGACAGGACTAGAGAGCTCCTGCACTGAAGCTGAACCGGCTCCTAAGAGCCGATCTTTTTTAAAAACGGAGCCGGAGCTGCTCTGATACGGTTCTTCTGTCAATTTATATAATTTCAATTTCTAGTTCGTGAACGTTTGCGCCGACTGAAATTGGCTTTGAAAAAGTTAATCGTTGAACTAAATACCTTTCAATATTTTCCTTGTAATGATCGACAACTTCGCTATCAACGTCATGCTACTCGACTGTATATATTCTTAATCATCATTTCGGTTACAATCCTAGCTGCATATAATCTAGTGGACAAATCAATTCATCGCCGTACTTTTACTAATCCATCCGAATCCGAATACCTTAATCTTGAAGAAGAACATAAAAATAATCTGATCTGTAAATGTACATCTATATCTATAGACTACTCCTCTTTTATAACTATTCAACCTCGATTCCATCAAATATGTTCTAGTTACTTGATTACTTCAGAATGGATTAAGTACAGTAATTCGGAGAAAAGTGCTATTAAGTACATACTCGACTATCGAAATTGTGCTAGTAGTCAGTTTCAAACATTGGCGATGTTGTGTGAGCATGCTCAGAATACAATCAATGATACTCGTGATATATTTTTGCAAAAACAGATTGTCAACTCACAAACAATCAGTAAACAATTGTTTCAAACTAAAATGAACCGCTCTATTGAAAGTTGGAAATCGTCCATTATCAGTCAATTTGCACGCAGGATGGAACTTGTTTTAATTACCACAAAGACAAATCATTTGATGAATCGTTTGAATATTTTTTTTCAAAAGGGGGGGCTATTTAAAAATCAGTTAATAACTGAGCCCCGCACGTATGGTGGTTGTAATTGTGGTGTGAATTATACATGTACCGAACCCATGAGAATATACGAATATGTCAGAGGCGTTCTTACGCCAAAATATACAATTCCTAATTTTTTTCTGGGTTGCTATCTGGTCGAAGCATTGTTTTCATCGACATTGGAATGTTTCTACAATGAACCATGTATGTCTAACCTTCGTCATTTTTTTCATTCGTCTCTCAACGAATTGTGGACTTTTCCAGCACTCAATTCAAGCCTTAGTGCAGCTAATGAGTCGATTGGATCGATTTTCGATGAAGTGATGATTGATGAGTGGTCAGTGGATGTCAATTTTACTTCTTATTACCACAAATGCGCTCCAAAGACATGTACCATCGATTATAACAGTCGTCAAAGTCTCTTGGAGATTGTGACCATTATTACTGGTGTTTTTGGTGGCTTGTCCATTGGTTTTCAGCTGCTCATCTGGATTGGCCTTAGATTAATTGAAAAATTCATCAAGGGATTTTCTTGGAAACTATCTTTGCAGCTTGTAAAACAGATTTTTGGCTGGAATGATGAACAAAAGTTGACACGTCGATTACATATCATTCTAGTTATAGTGATTCTCTATGCTCTCTACGTCCGTCATGCTTTTCGTCCTCAGTTAACTGAAGAGCAATTTGAGAAACCATCACTGGCCGTTTATGAAAATCTAACTAGACAGTATCCCGATTCTCTGCATTGTTTTTGCTCAAATATATCCATTCAGTATGATTCCTTTCTTAAACTAAACGCTAGTTTCTACCCACTATGTCGGATAGACTTCGTTTCAGAAGCATGGACTGTATTTTACAGTAATCCCAATCATTGGCTTTCATTCCATGCAAGCTTTGGGTATGCAGGCGTGGCACACTTGCGTGTGTTCCAGTCACTATGTACATTGTCTAACGACACAGCTTACGATTCAATCAATCAATTATTAACAAGTCGTCTAGTGAATACTGAGCTGTTATCGCGAACCTCATTAACCGAACAATTTCGAGCGATTATTGATGATTTCAATTCGACAGTACCTAAAATATTAGTCAATACATTTGCACTGACTCGCATGGTAGTAACTACAAGTAAGTTAATGACTACCTATGGTAACACTTGGGTGTTCAAGGTTCCACCGAATCCGGTTACTTCCATTCTGCGCACACTGTACCAGTCACTAAGGAAGGATGCAACTGCGGATTTACTTCAACGTGCACCTGGTTTTATCGTGAAGTGCAGATGGGTTGTTACGTAGTCGAAGCTGCCTTGAAATGGTCACCCGACTGTCTCCTTAATCTAAAAGAATGTTTGAAAGTAACAAATATTTCTCTGGCATTGAATAGCTCTGCTAATCCAAGTCGTTTCCCTATTAATTCAACTTTTGAATCCGTTTTCAATGAACTAATGTTGGAGAAACTTGTTCATACTGTATCCTATGATAATTACTTTCATCAATGTGCACCTTCATTATGTGTTCGTTCTTATATCAAAAAAAGTAATCTAATCGAAGGGATTACAATAATGATTTCTCTCTATGGTGGTTTAGTAATCATCTGTAAGTTCGTTGCGGTGGCTATCGTCAAACTATTACGATGTCGATCAGTTCGAGTTACGCCGACGACAAACTGATCTGACAATAAACATTTTACCCTCTGCTTTATTTGATCGATGTGCTAATGTTGGTGCAGAACAATACATATGACTTAAAAAATGACAAAATTCTTTGACTGTCTTGAGGATGGATGTAGATAAAGAAGGATTTGTTTACTATTAACGTCAACAGATGACACTCCATGACTCTAATTCTTGACTTAATCGGCATAAAGCCGAGGTATTTTCTGTATTAAATAAACATTCAGTACTTTCGATAAAGGGTCTAGTATTTCGATTTGACAAAGATACACACTATCAAACTCATATTATTCTTGAAGCTTCTAATAGTAACAGCTCCTATTTTATTTTGTCCTGTTTCATGTGCTAGTATGAAGAAAAAACAAAGATTTTCTCTCACAAAGTTTTGACTAAGAATTCACAGTAATGAATATTGAACAATATCTAACTATGTTTTGGTTGGTTTTTAGAAATGATAAATTTGATCTTTTTTTATTTGAAATAATTATATAACATAACTAAAATGTATCTCATTTCACAAAAAGAATGCTACTACGTACAGCTAGATGAGGTAGCTAAAACATCGGGTGTGGGTGGGTGTGGGTGTGGGTTTGTCTATCATTATTCACCCACACCCACTACAACCACACCGCACCCACACCCACACCCACACCCACACCCACACCCACACCCACACTCACGCCCACACCCACACTCACGCCCACACCCACACCCACACCCACACCCACACCCACACTCACACTCACACCCACACCCACCCACACCATCAGGAATTGACCATTATTTCTATGACAGTTTCTCCATTTATGAAAATGAATACAAAAGTAAAAAGTATCATGGGTACTATATTTTTTTAATCGAAATATTTAAAGAAATATGAAAGAATTGAACAGGAATTCTAATAAAAATAATATATAGAAGAACTGATATTTACGATTGGAAACAGTTGTTTGAGAAAATTTTGGCGGTTGTTTTTGTAAAAAATTCGTTGAAATAATATAAAGAAATAATCCGTTTTTATTTAGAAAAATTTTTGATAAAAATAAAACTGACTTTTGTAAAACATTTGTTGTACAAATATAGCTTTCAGGTTCTCTTGTTCAAGAATTAATTTGAGCTTGACAAGTTGTTTGAAGAAAAATCCATTGTTGCCCTTTATTTAAAAATTTATATGGTTCACTTGTTCCCCTTCCTTTATCTTTCCCTACAAAATAGAAAAAACTAAACTCTTATTTAATTTGAAAACATAATTAAACAAACATAATTGATATGCTCGAGTCATAATTGACAAGTCGTCTGGATGAACAAAGTCAAAATATGTACAACCAATTAATTCATATGAGGTATAACCAAGAATTTGTCGAGCTCTAAGAAAAAGAAAAATTAAAATATTTAATTTTTCAACAGACAAACTTTGAATCAACATAAATAAATCTTCCATGAAGATTTAAACGAGTTGTAAATTCATTTGTTGAATTATGTTCATTTATTGTTAGTGTCCGATCTATTGTATTTACTTTAACAATTGACATGAGATATTTTTCATCAGTTTTATTGCTAACTAAAACAAAACTAAAGGAAAATTATTTTTCTTGTTTTTGTAATTTTTGTTTTGTTTAACCTTGTCTAAATGCTCCAATAATTGTGCATTCTTCACATTCATCAGCTGTACCTCGTCTCCAAGATAAATTACATTTTTCAATAACTAAATTAAATATAAAAAGATATTTTATTTATTTATTTATTAAGAATTTTCATACTTCTATGATCTTTTAGAAGATAATCACGTAATTGATCATGATCACGAGGTAAAATTAATTCAAATAAAGAACGATTAAGAAGTTCATTCTGAAAAAGAACAAAAAAACTTTCGAATAAAATATTCGTTTGTTTTTTTTCAATAGAAATATTTACATGGGAATAATCAAGCAATGAACTAATATTTTTTGATACATGAACAATTTGACCATTGTATGGGTTAGGTTTTGCCACAAGAAAAAAACAACCCATTGCCTTTGTTTCAAAAAAGAAAACTGATTATATTTTATATGAAAAAGATAAATTCTATTTTGTACTTCTATAGCTATTTGAGTCCATTCGTCAGTTGTCACTAAATTTGATGGAGGTTTCCATGAAAAATTCACAACTTCGTCAAGTTGTTCATTAGTTGTTCGACCACTTGTTGATGGAACATTTAGTTGAATTGTTAAATCTATTTATTATATTCAAATAAATATGTTTAAAATCAGTTTTTCAATAATAAATATTTCTTCTTTTATTATGAGATATTTTCAAGAATTTATTTTTCGTTGTAATTAATGAAAGAAAAAAATTGATATCTTACCATTTTGATGTTTTTTTAAATAAAGTGCAGTTTCACGTAAAACTGATGCTTTATCTGATTTATTTGTTTAATCAGTAGACGATGAGTTTTTATCAATAGTAAGTATATTTTCTAAACTAGTAATTAATTGACTAAGTAAATCTCGTCGACGCTTTTCACTTTCATTTCGAAATTTTCTATAAAAAAAAGAAAAAAGAAACGAATAATAAAGAACAAAAAATGTTCTTTTCAACTTTTTGCGGGTGACCGTTTTGACACTTCTCTAAAATATAATAAAATAAAAAAATATTCATTTTTTAACAAATTTCTATATTTTACTTTGAACGTTGTCGTTTAGATTTTCTATTGGTGGTATTCATATTTAACTTATTGCAACATATTCTAGAAAATACTAAGATAAAATTACTAACAAAAAATATGAAATAAAACACAAGAAAAAGTACGATAACGATGATGATTGCTACGCGGAGTATACGAGGAAGATGAGAATCATGTGTGGGCGTTGTTAACAAAGTATACCGATGAAAGGCGCAGAAAAAAATCAGGTCACATGAGAAGTAACAGAACTAAGGAAAAAAAGAAAAAATTTTTCCTACAATGAATTTAGAAATCCATAATCTTGTAATATTGAATATTTTATTAAGATTAATCTTTAGCTATTTTTTTATAAAAATGTTACAAAAGTCAGTGTAAGTATTAGTTTTTCTTATTTTCATTATATTTTTCGTCGAACGATCATGATTTATATGCACACACATTGTAGAATATTTATCCGACGAATAATAATAGGTCAGTGGTACATTGCGTTTATGAACTTTCTTCTGTCGCTCTTTCTCGTCTGCTAACAATTATATAAGCCATTCAGAAGAATTCATCGAGAATATTCTATTTAAATATATATATGAAAATAAGAATCCAATTAGAAAAATAAAATATATGTTTATGTAACAGAGTTCAGTAAGTAGTTTTTAAAATGATTTACTTAAGAAAATTGTTTTCATCATCATCACCACATTCCGATTGAAAAGATCTATGTAGAAAATATTTAACATAGATTAACAAGTAAACATCATTCATACCTAAGAAAATTTTGTTATGCATACATTCACATAAAAAATACAAGATTTTTTTCAATGGAAGAATTTCCTATTGGGAATGCCATTTATTAAGTACTGATAAGGATAATAGATACATTATATATGCAAATTATATTATCAAATCATTTCTATTTCTATACAGTTTATTATATTCATTCATAAATCTACAATTAATAATAATGACAATTTATCTAATTAAAAAGGTGTTGACTTTTTCAAGCGTAGATTATTCATGGGAAACGATTCAGATTAATGTTTAACCGAAATTAATTTTTTGAAAATCTCTCATCTATGACTCAAAAGAAATCTTTTAAGTATTATTTTATATTAGTATATTACATAATTAATTATAGTTGCAAAGAAAAGAGATGAACTATGGAAATTTTATTTTATTAAATGAAAGTTTTATCTTTAATAATTTTTCTAGAGAAAGAAGTGACAGTGAGCTAATCCTTTTTTGTATCATATTTATTAAATACTAAATTAATATTACATTCATTACAATTAAATAATAAGACTAACAAAAAAAACATTATATTTTAGTCTTCACCGGGAAAATAAATAATTAAAAGAATTGATTAATTTCTTGTATGTCGTTAAATAAAACTATTTCTATACAAAAATCTTTCTTATTGATATAGAAACTATTCAATTTACTACGAAATTTTATAAAGATGTCTTTCCTTTCAGATGATTGATACAAGAGAATATTATTGTATAGACAATGAAATGATATTAAATCATTTCTGGAGATTGAAAAAACCAAATATTCTTATGAGAAATAGTTTAAATGATTAATCTATGGAATTATTATTATTTATATATACAGTGTAACACTATAGAACGAGGGTGTGTGGTGGGTGTGGTTCGATAAAAAAATGAAGTATATACGCTCATACTCACACCCACACCCACACCCTCAAGAGTTAAGACAAGTTATTGTACATGAAATCGAATATATTATATTAAATACTATGAGTAAATAAAATAGCATGTTCGTATCTTGAATTGCTAAATGCATTTGATAATAGGTAAGAAGAGTTTGAAGTATGTAAGTATGAAAAGATAAATATTTCTTTCATTGTTGTTATTATTATAAAGAATTTTTTTTATGAAATACATTTCAAGTAAATTTATTATTAAAATTCTAAAAAAATAACAAATATTGATGTATGATAACAAAAAAAAAAAATATTTTAAATATTATAATAAATTTTTGAAAAATATGCAAGTTTGTTTTTATTTAATAACGAAAGTTGATAGTAAAATGATGAAAATGATAACCATATTAATCATTATTGATAATGATAATCGGTTTGTCCATTATTAAAAAATTTATTAAAATCGAAATTGATTGCATTTTTTTCACGAATAAGATCGGCATTACTTAATGAATTGCAGCTTTCTGCTTGATATAGAACCTGCCAAATATTAGAGCGTGTTCGATCGGTCATATTAAACATTACTGTATATGATAAAGAATTATCCAAAGTTTCAGTTAACCAAGGTGTACATCCTTGCGTTGTCTTTTCATCAATTTGTTTTGCTAATAAACATCGTCTACATGCATCATTTGGTATTATAATGTTGCATTTATTAGTAGTTGTATTTGAAACACGATCAGACCATGCACCTTGAAATGGTTCTTGAGGCTTGATCATGTTTGTCATTTCGTCAAGATGATGTATTACGGTTAATGAATTTATTAAACGTTTTATTTGATCAAAACTATTACATTCATCAGTTGAACATTTATATTCAAGAACTTTTTTCGCAACTAATTCATCACGATACTCGTAACCTATAGCAACATTAAGTACGTGGTTAGTTGATATAGACTTTTTAGTACAACCACTAGTGACTACTATTTCGGTTTTGCCTATACTATATTGCCATACAATATCTACAGTACATTGGTTTATAGTTTTTAATACACAGTCATTGAGTTTTTCAGCCATGTTTTCATTTGTAATATTATAATTAAAAACATTTTCAATGGCAGGACAATCACAACAAGATATAGTACATGAAACCGAATATAATATGTGATAAGTTAAAAATAAATAAAACAACATTTTCTCTTAAAATTGAGGATAAATGAAATTGTCTGTTTGATATTATGTTGACAAACTTAAGATATATAACAAAGACAAAAAAAACGATAAGCAATTCTATAATACACGTGTTTGAGTTATAAATATTCTTTATTTTTTACTTCTCTAATATTATTGATTCAATTTAGATGTTAAACAAAGTATTTGTTCTATTATTAACATTTCAGATAGCATAATATTCTTGTTTAGAATTAATATATTTCTTCATTTAATCGAACGAATAATGTTCAATATTAAATATGTATAGGAAGTCAAAGATCGAAATACAAATCTTATGTTACTAAGCAAATAATTTTCTTGTTGTTTACCATCATATAGTACTATTCAATTCTTGAGTTAATTCTTGATCGGAACCTCATGTTTATGGTTTGTTTCAAGAAATATTACACTCATATTTTTTTATCATGTCAACATATTCTGTTTTTATTAAAGTAAAAGCGTACATAACTAAACAGTTAGTTTTTTTGTAAAATGAATAATAATAAAAGAAAGGTAACTTAACAAAACAAAAATTCTTATCATTAGATAGTTTATTAGAAAATTGGTAGAATATATGTATAGAACATTTTGATTTATTTCATATAATATTGTCAATGTCAACTTCTTTTTATATAATAATAGTATTATTCTTTGTTAGCAACGGAAGTAAATAGCTCAGATTTTATATAAATCATGCTCAAAAACCAAAGTACCTGTGATAATAGTTATTCTTATGTCGTATCTGATATAATCATACGATATTTTTATCGTTCTTGTGTTTCATGATATTCTTGTCTTAGTAAACAAAGTCACACAATTTCTTTATTATTGCTATTATAGATAAAAAAATATGAATCATTTAGAATAATTTTTTTTAATTTAATTATAATTAAAAAAACAAATTATTTTATTCATTAAAAGGTACGTCGTATATATATAGTTTATTTAGATAATTTTTTTTCAATATTAAAAAAAAAGAGGACGAGGTCAAAAGAACTCTTAAGTTTCTATATAATTATATTCTCATTATACTTCAATCCATAAGATATTTATATGTTACTTGAGATAATTATCTAGCTGCTATTTTCATGTAATGATTACCTATCTTTACCATGAATATAATTAATTTTGACCTATATTACTTAGAAAAACTATTCACTTTTATAATATTTTAATATTTCATCTTGTTCATTGAATTGTTATTCGATGATCTTAATGATAATATTTTTTATAACTCATTTAACATCTTAGTGAATAGTTTTGCTATAAACTTACTTTTTGATATGGTATTCTTTGTAATCATTTTGTTGATCTATGAATAATTGTTAAGCTTTGCAAAATTTTTAGATAAACAATAATTTTTGCCCGTAACTATGCCAAGGTTATATATAAAAAGCAATGATTTATATGATGGTAGACATTTATTTTGTTTCTAACAGGAATTAATATTATGGAAACATACAAAGACTTGTGTCTTGCTGTTAAAATTAATCGAAAAAAAAGAGTACCCTACAATTATCAATATGAATCGTTATAAAAAATAGTGATGCTCATATATAATCAAAACAATAAATGGTCTCAAATAGATTTTTTAGAAAACAAAATGATATGACATTCTCAATCTACGCTCTCATAGTTTTCTCAAAGTTTCTTTATACATGAATATTATTGGATATTTTTCTTGTCTTCTCTTTCTATGTCTTTTATTATTCTATAATATTATTTAGTTGAAGAAATATTAATCAGAAGAAAATATCATCTCTATTTTTTTTGAACGACAAATTCTAATTTATTGAATGATGAATGTATTAATTTTGATTAGAACAATCGTTGTTTTCATTTGATCTTTATAATCAACAAACAAGGTTTGTAAAGTTAACTTTAGACTAATGTTTTATTTTATTTTATTTATTATTTAGATCAAAATAATTTCGCTGTAGACTCGTGGGTGAATAAAAGATCAGAATTTTCTTCGGAAAGTACATAACTTTAAAAGATATGTCATCACATGTAAAGAAATAGACTTAGAATACTTTTCGATTACTTTCTTTTTCTGGAACACAACATGTTATTAGTACTGGTACTGTAAAGGTAATACTCTTATTCTCTATATAATATATGTACATAATAACCTTAAAAAGAAGCATGACAAAGTATCGTGACAATTATAAATGAAATGTTTATCAGGTGTATTTTCTTATAGAACTGTGAAACTACGTCGTTCTTTAAGTAGATAATACCATTTAATACATTCTTAGCCTGAGATTATGTCATGCTTATAGCTAAAAATTTTATCTTTTTTAGATAGAAACCAACGAACATTTACATTCTTCAATATTAAACATGCTAGATACAAATATATCTGAAATACTTGATCATATATCTACACAATTTAATCGTTATTTTTCCATTCTTATTTTTCTTTTTGGTACTATTGGTAATTTACTTAATTGTCTTGTTTTATCTCGACCATCTCTTCGTTCAAATCCATGTACTTTTTATTTTCTTATTTCATCGATTGCAAATATTATTTCCATTACTTCTGGTTTACCTTCAAGAATACTATCTGGGTGGAATATGGATATAACAAATACAAATGCATTTCTTTGTAAAATTCGTGCTTTTATCATGTTCGTTTCGAGATCGATTGCTTTTTGGCTCGTAGCATTTGCAGCAATCGATCGTTGGCTTTTATCATCTAATCAACGTCAACGACGACAATTTAGTTCTTTAAAAAATGCTCAACAAGGAACGATTGCTATTATCATCTTGTCTTCATGTCTCTATTGCCAAGTGTTGTATTGTTATGATGCTAATATGATTTCAGCACCACTCCATTGCTATGGTAAAACAATCGTATGTCGTTTAGTAACTGATTTAACATATGCATTAGTGACAATCTTATGTCCATTACTAATTATGTGCATATTTGGTTTGATGACATTATCAAACATACGTCGAATACATTCCCATAGGTTATCAGAATCAGAATTAATTGAAACAAAGGAAAATAATAGAAAATCATTAAAATCAAAAAATCTTCAAACACGAAAAAGAAAACGAATTGATCGACATTTACGTCATGTACTTTTTATTCAAATTATATTTTCAACTATTCTCACAATTCCACAAGTTATTGAAAAATTATATACAACATTAACAATGAATCAAATGAAATCATCATTAAATATAACGATAGATGAATTTATATATAATTTTGTTCTTTTATTAACATATCTTGCAAGTGGAATGCCATTTTATATATATACATTAAGTGGTGGAAATACATTTCGTAATGGACTCATGGAACTATTCAAAACAAAATAAAGCATTAACATTGTATTTTTGTACTTTAAAAACAGATATAGAATTCAAATAAATACTACATATATCTAAATAAAATATGTCCTAAATTGATTGTTTGCGGTTAATAAGAATTCATTGATAGAAACCAGAGTATAAATTGTTCTTTTTTTTGTCTAAAAATATTATTAAGCTATTGTTATTTCTATACTAGAATTTATCACTTATTAAAGTGAACATATTTTTCCGCTAAAATGCACTTGTGAACCTATATCGAAATCTTTTAATGAGACATATATATCCATTTAATGTGGTTTATATAGAATAAAACCGAAAATGATAAGTTGTACTTTTCTTTTGAAGCATATATAATAGGTAGTATCAGGGTATGTTGCATTCTTCTATTATGACATCTATTACATGTGAAAGATTCTCAAGATATATATATATATATGAGATTATGTGTTATATGATCTTTTAAGCATTTATTTTTAACTATGACCTTCAAATGACGGGTATGAGCTTGACACATATATATATATATCGAATAGTGTTTCACTATAATTTAATGGTTATTTTGCTCGATGATCTCTTCGTTCAAATTTGTGTACTTTTTATTTTTTTTTTCATCGATTGCAAATATCATTTCCATTACTTGTGGTTTAACTTCAAGAATAATGTTCGGATGGAATCTGGATATAACAAGTGCAAATGCATCTCTTTGTAAATTTTGTGCTTTTATCATGTTGATTTTAAGGTCAAGTGTAGGGGTAGGACAGTTCCATATTAGTTCCATTCTTGGGAACGGTTTAATAGTTCTTTTGAAAGGAACTGAACTGTTTGGTAGAGTCCAGTTCTATTCAAAGAACTGTTGGTTCAGTTCAGTTCCTTTCAGAAGAACTGAACTAGTAGTTCTTTTGACCAGTTCATCTGAACTTGGAACTACGAACTGTCCTATCCCTAGTCAAGTGCTACAGTTGATTAATAGCATTCATCATGCACTGAATATCAACGACGACAATTTAGTTCTTGAAAAGATGCTCAACACGAAAGACCTTGTATTATGACTTTATCATCTGTTGGCTTCTCTATTGTCAAGTGTTGTATTATTATGATGCTAATACAATTTTAGTATCAGTTTATTGTTACCACAAAACAATCATGTGTCGTTTAATAACTAATTTGATGAGTGTTTCGATACGAATATTGAATATCTATTGAGCATGTTGTATGAGTGAATAATTACATTTTGACAAACAATCGAACAGTTCTATACAAATTAAACTAGAAATATGAATAAAATAAATAGATTTATTTTTATATTTTTGTAGAGAAGAGAAGGACTAAAGTATAATGTACAATTATAAATGGTTCTTTATAATTTCATCTATATAGGACTATATCCTGAAATAATTTTCTCTTCTATTGTTGACATTTTCAATTGTAAATAATCATACTAATAATTATTATACTTTACACTTCTGTTTAAATAAGATTTTAAGTATTGATAAAATATTAAAGAAGAAAGAAAAAAAATACTTGTAATTATCAATAAATTCCTT